GGAAAGAGCCTAAGTGTCCATCAATGGACAAATGGATCAAGAAGATGTGGTTTATCTATACCATGGAATACTACATGGATGAGAAAGAATGAAATCTGGCCATGTGTAGTAACATGGATGGACCTTGAGGGTGTTATGCTGAGCAAAATAAGTCAGGCAGAGAAGGACAAATATCATGTTTGCACGTATAGGAGGATTAGTAGGAACTTAACAGAGGACCATGGGGGAGAAGAAAGGGGGAAATAGTGGGAGAGGGAGAAAGGCAAACCATGAGAGACTCTTGAATGCTGAGAACAAACTGAGGACTGATGGGTGTGGGGGGGGGAGTGGGGAGATGGGTATGGAGGAGGGCACTTGTGGGGATGAGCACTGGGTGTTATATGGAAACCAACTGGACAATAAACTATTTGTAAAAAAAAAATAAAAGGATACAACTGCCATTTAAAATATGGAAGGCCATATGTAGAGACTGACAGGAGCTGGCAGTTTAGTTTTGGAAGTGTTATCAACTGAAAAGCCTATATTAGATAGCTTAAGTAAAAGTAAAGTAAGAAATTGTTATTTGAATTTGGAATTCAACAAGGTGGAGACAAAAATTTTGGAATTGTCATAAATAGCATTTAATGCTATGAGACCAGAATGATTATACCAATTGTATACATTCTTTTAATTAAACCTAATTTAATAAAATTAGGATATTCATAACCTCTCCTTTGACATTCTTATTCATTTGACATTCATTCATATCAGCACTTTGAAATAGTATAATACAGGTGATGACCAAATTCATATGTTCCCTCCCTGACTTCTTCTAAACTTTAGGACCTTATGTTTTTAGTCTTTTTTAACTTTAAGAATCCTCCATACTGTTTTCTCTTGTAAGAATAATGTACGCTTTCAGCCAAACTGAAGAACTCACCTCATCTCAAATATGCCTGTACTGTCTTAACCTATTTTTTTCTCCTCAAATCCTCAATTTCTGATTCTTTCTAACCATCTTTTAAAGACCAGGTTCCATAAATCCTTTTATCTTCAGCCTTACATTCCAAAAAGATTTCTCTTTCACTTTTCTGAATGTTTCTTTTTTTAATATACTTTTTGAACATTATGTCTGTTATTATTTATGAATGTATATAAAATCTCTTCTAATCACAGGTCTTGATGACAGGGATTCTGTTTTATTAATCTTTGAATTGCCCACAGCACCTTGCACAGTAACCTACTATTTTATTTATAATGAGCCTAGGAGTTTTATGAAGACTTCATATGAACTTATTTTCTTCTTAAATTAAATATAAACATTCATTTATTCAAAGGCAGATTCAAGTTTTTCGTTCTTTCTGAATCTGTAGCTATATTAGAGCTATTTTCCTTCATTTAAGTCTTCTGGATGTACACTGAAGTCAGTGGAAAAATAAAGGAAGAGAGGAAAAACTCAAGTATCTGGTAATCAGTCAGTCCATCTATCCATCCCCTCCATCTATCCATTCTACTTCTGGTTGGCTAACCTTTATTTAGGGTGAAATAATTGAGGTGTTTGAAGATACATGAAGCTTCAAAGGGCAACAAAATAAATTATTTTGCTTAATGTACTAATTGAATTCTTTCTGTAAGGAAGAAATTCAGTTTGGGCAATTCTTAGAGTCATTAACAAATTATTTATGTAAAGTTGATTTCAGAAATTTCTTTTAGAAACCTTTTCACTGTTCTATCCATTTCCATCTGTATTACAAACAGTACATTATAGTAACTCATCAGTAATAGTTGAGTAAGTTTGACTTCTGCACAGTGTCTCTCAGAGCCAGCATTTCTTTCCCCATTCCTTTCACTATGACTGTAAGAGCAAGCTTTCATCATCTCTTTCCTGTTATTTCCACTTCTAGATGCTCTACTGTTCCAACCTTTCTACACATTCTTTCCTTAGTAATCCTTATAAAGCAGTTCAAATCCTGTCATAGCTCCACTTGAAAACTTTTAATGGCTTCTTCTTACACAAATAAACTCCAGGTTCTGTAGTTGGACAATCAGCAGTCTTTCCAAGCTTATCTTCATTAATACCCTTTTAATGGTGCTTCATTATTTCTTAGTGCTCCTGACAAGCTCCATTCATTTCTGTTATCCTTATACTTCCTATGCATGCTTGTTTCTGTGCCTCTGTGGTATTTTCTCGATTTGAGGTGCTTTACCCTTTTTTTCTACCATTTGTATTAGCCCTTTTTATACTTGTGTTCATATTACTTGAAAGTAGAGTTTAAGTTTGAATCTATTTAACTTTTCATAGTACAAAGGACAGTTCTTTGTCCATGGGGGAATATAGTTAAGTATCTGCTTAATAAGTGATAAGATGTTACCCTATCTATTATTTGCAGCATATTGTAATTTAGTAGGTTATGCAAATTGTGTTGCATGAATAGCATGATATTGTAATATTTGTCTTCCTCAGGAAACTTATTTGGGAAACCAGAAGGAGAAGATGCCTTTACATTTTCTTTTTCATCAGACTCTTCAACTCATACATTTGGAACTGGAAAAGATGATTTTAGTTTTCCATTTTCATTTGAACAGGATCAAAACTCAACACCTTCTTCTGTAAAAGGTTTTTCATCTTCCTCACAAAATACAATGCAATTTACCTTTTTTTGAACTATTTACTAATTTCTTGAATTATTTAACTGCTCTGTAATCATCTAGGGCATAAATTTACATTATTCCTTTAAAAATGAAGACTACTTTCTTTTGTTGGTTAAAGCAATAATAGGTTACCATAGTTACATTATTTGATTTTATTAAAATATTGATAGAAATTAATCCTGTGTCATCTAATTTTGTTTTATTTGTAGCATTTGCTATCATTATTTTGGTTTTGATTTTGCAAGCCATATTTAGGCAGAATTTATCTTAATAGAATTTGATACTTTTTCCATTAATCTTTACTATAAATATTAAGCCTGCTTCTCCCCAGAACCTAAGTTTTATTCTGGTAGTAATTTCAGTGCTTTGGTAAAAATGAAAACTTCAGGCCATCAGAAGACCGTTTAGCAGTAACTATGCAGAATTAGTGCTGAGGTATACTTTGTACTTTAGCTACTAAAAAATGCTTATAAAATTAGTTTCACTTATACTTCACCATTGCAGTATAAAGAGTGGTACTTCAAAAAAAAAAGTGTGGTACTTCAATAATAATCTCACAGAAATAATTTTGATAGTGAATTAAATCTGTTATTTTTTTCAAATACAACAAATAATAAAATTCTAATTTTATCAGTTATTCTAATTCTTTTAGTGGAAAAAAATTAATGTGAAGGACTAAAGTAATTTCTGAAAGTTAGATTGTTATATTAATGACGATACTGTTATATTTTTTGCTTAAACTTTTTTTGAAGAACATTTAAAATCTTGTTTTCTGTCTCTAACAAAAAAATTCACCTTTATGTTTTATATGCAGTATTGGCTTGTCAATTATGTAGATAAATAAAGATATTTAAAATTTGATGAAATTATATAAACATAATGCTCAATGTCTTTGTATTTTGTAAATTAGTTATATAGAGTTATTGAGTAATAAAAAGTCTGACTCTATATTTTGGTGTGTGAATGTTCACAGGCTTTAAGCTTCACTGCATTTTCTTTCCCTTCTGCCCCATATCTGATCAATCTGATAAGAAAGCCCAGGTGTTCCCACCTTTGGCACTAGTAGGAAGTTCAAACCATATATAGGAACTCTTGTTTTGGCCCCATCCCCAACCACCTTAAAAACCCACAGTCAGTGTCCTTAAAAACCCACAGTTAGATCTCTCAAGCCATTTCCAGAGAACTAGATAGGCCTGGCCTGCTTTCTCCAGAAAACATCATTATGTGAGTAATAAACCTTTCCATACCCTACTGGGGTATGTGTAATGTCATCAGTCTCAATATACAAACCAAATTTGTAGTGAGTCTTTTTTGCTTCTTCAGGGTGTCCACAACATATGACAATTATATGAAATTAAGCTATCCCAAAGACTTCTTAGAAGTCAGAGAAATGATTTAGCTAATGAGAGAAAGAATTTAAGAAAACTTTGGACTGTGTGTTATTTTAAATTAATGTATTTTGAGAGAGAGAAAGATAATACACATGTGTATGAGCAAAGGAGGGGCAGAGAGAGAGAGGGAGAGACAGAATCTCAAGCAGGCTCTGCACTATCTGCACTGAGTAGGGTTTGGGGTTCAAACTCTTGAAACTTGAGATCATGACCTGAGCTGAAATTGAGAGTTTCTTTCTTTCTTTTTTTTAAAGTTTATTTATTTACTTTGAGAGAGAGTGAGCATGGGAGGGGCAGAGAGAGAGAGGAAGAGAGAATCCAAAGCAGGCTCTGCTCAGTCAGTGTGGAGCCTGACTTAGGGCTTGAACTCATGAACCATGAGATTGTGACCCGGGCCATAATCAAGAGTTTGTTGCTTAACCAACTGAGCCATCCAGTGCCCTGAGAGTCAATTTCTTAACCACTTGAACCACCCAGATGCCCCCAGACTTTGTTTTAAAAATAAAATCTTCAGGGGTGCCTGGATGGCTCAGTTGGTTAAGTGTCTGACTTTGGCTCAGGTCATGATCCCGCAGTTTGTGAGTTTGCGCCCTGTGTCAGGTTCTGTGCTGACAGCTTGAAGCCTGGAGCCTGCTTTGGATTCTGTGTTTCCTTCTCTCTCTGTTCCTCCCCCACTGACACTCTGTCTTTCTCTCTCTCTCTTTCAAAAATAAACAAAGATTAAAAAAATTTTTAAACCTTCAACAACTGGTTGAAAGCTGAAAATTGCAGTTTAAAACATGGAGTTTTTCTTTTTATATCAAGTATTTTATTGACCCTGTGATTGAATTAATTAGCTTTGATATAATAAAGACATTGGCTATCTATGAGAAAGGAAGTTGTAATGGGTTTATTGTTTAAGAGGTTCAAAACTGATTTTAGCCTTGAGAGATCCAGTGATTCCATGTTTTTTTTTTTTACTTTAAATAGGGAAATGCCTAGCATGCCAGTGTAGTTAGATTTATCATGTATCAATAAAAGAGGTAAAATAAAATAAATTTTTTAAAGTATCTACAATGTACATGGTGTTTTGAGGGCATAAAAAAAGGTAAAAGACATAGTCTTAACACTAAAGGAACTTTTAGTTGAGACCTCTAACTTATGAGACAACTTAAACATATTATAATAAAATAGTTTATAATAAAATTCTATAGTTTATAACTTGATCTGTGTAGAGAAGAGATTGAATGTTTTAGAATTATAAAAAGGAAGGTTATTATGGACTAGAAAGCCTGAGGATTCACTGAAGAGCTAGGATTTGAATTAGCATATTAAAAGCTATGTAAATTGTAAAATTGAGTGTTAATGTTGTTGCCTTTTTTATCTTTGCACTTTTTGTTGCCTAACTCTAGCGACTAGTGTTTAGTAAGCTTTCATTAATTTTTTGTTGAATTAATAAAATTGAACTACGTGGTAAAGGAGGTGGGGAGGGCTTTCTAGGTAAGAGGGACAATATGAGTAAAAGAAAAATACAGTCACAAATTTAGGATGCGTGGAGGAAATTCAAAGTAGGCCTAAATGTAGTGGAGAGTAGTAGTAGGAAATTGAGACTAATAGATATAGTAAGACTAATTTATAGAGGATGTTCAAGAGTTTTGACTTGGTTTCTGAAGCAAATAAGGAATTTACATCTTAAATGCCAGAGTTGCAAGATAAAAGATAAGGAACTCATATCTCAGATGTCAGTGTTGTAAGATAAATGACTAAGAAAGATTAAACTGACAATACAGTCAGAATTAGGAGAAATTACAGTTAAATCAAGTAGGAGGCAGTCGCAGTGGTCCACGTATATGGTGATTAAGTTCCAGGTGATAGCAACTAAATGTCTTGTGGTTTGATGCTGCCAACACCTAAAATTAGACAAGTATATGTTGTCTAAAAGAAACATAATTGATTGAATACCTTCTGGGTATAAGGTAAAAGGATTAAGGAACCAGTTATTTGGTTATGTTTGAATATCACAAATTCTCAACTTCTAGAGATACGTGCAGTGTTTCTAATGGAGATCACAGAAACAACTGTATAATCAAATAGCCTTTTAAAGATCATGTTTTTTGAAGAGCATTATTCCCCAAATGATAGATGAAATCGACTGTCATTTTCAAAATAGGAATTCATCCCCACTTCTATTCAATAAAGTTTCAGAATGTGGGGTCTAGTCTCAGAGTCCTCTGTTAAATTTAGTAGAAAAACTAACACTTCATATCTTTGATTAAGAAAAAAATCTATTTTAATATGATTCGTCTAATTTTTTTTCTCTATGACTAGGAAAGTTATTCTTTTTTTTTTTTAATGTTTTATTTATTTCTAGGAGAGAGAGACAGCGTGAGCAGGGGAGGGTCAGAGAGAGAGGGAGTCACAAACTGAAACAGGCTCCAGGCTCTGAGCTGGCAGTCAGCACAGGGCCCGACGCGGGGCTCAAACCCACGAACCGTGAGATCATGACCTAAGCGAAAGTCGGACGCTTAACCGACTAAGCCACCCAGGCACCCTTAGGAAAGTTATTCTAAATACACAAGATGAATGTTCCAAAATCAGTCAAGACTGATTTATCCTTAAAGGAAGTCTAAGTACACTATATCTACTGTGGCTTTCTGTGGCTGCTGTAGCAAATTGCCACAAACATGGTAGATTGAAACAATAGGAATTTATTCTTTCACAGGTCTGGAGGCCAAAAATCCAAAATCAGTTTTACTGGGCCACAATCAAGGGGTTAGCAAGACCCTGCTTTCTACGGAAGCCCTTTCCAGTGTCTGGTGGGTGCTGGCATTCTTTGGCTTGTGTCCATATCACTCCCAGTTTGCAAGGCCATTACGTTAGGGTTCAGAGAAAAAGAACCAATAGAATTCATCTGTCTTCTATCTATATATCCATTCTTCATCTGTATTTATTTTAAGGAATTGGTTCTCGTGATTGTGGAAGTTGCAAATCCTAAATCTGCAGGGCAAGGTGGCAGTCCAGAAATTCAGGTAAGAGATGATGCTACAATCTTGAACCTGAAATCCACAGGGCAGACCAGACAGGCTGCAAACTGAGGCAGTTTCTTTGTTAAATTTTGAAGTCAGATTCCTTCTCTGGAAAACCTCAATCTTTGTTCCCAATGCCTTCAAATGGATTAGATAAAGTCCATTCACATTATGGATAATAATCTGCTTTACTCAAAATCTACTGATTTATATGATAATCACATTTAAAAATACTTTCACAGCAAACTCTAGAATGGTATTTGACCAAACAATGGTACACCATAGCTTAGCCAAGTTAACACAAAATTAACCATCACTGCCAGCATCTTCAAATCTTTCTTTGCTCTGCCTTCAAATGACCATCTCTCTATGTGTGGTCTCCCTTTGCTTTTCTTTTATAAGAAAGTGGTTGTATTTAGGATCTATCTGGTTGTATAATTCAGATAACCTCTCCATTTTAAGATTCTTAATCACATCTGCAAAGATCTTCCACCCAACCCCCCTTTTCTTGTCATATAAGGTAACATGAACAAGTTCCAGGAAGTGGATATAGATATCTTGGGGTGGGGGGTACATTTTCTAGCCAATGACAAAGGGTATATATATTGTTTGTGTA